TCGGTTACATTCATTAAATCTGCAAACCAGTGTAGCTTCAAACTATGTCTGACATATCATATTTGTTTGAATTTTCTTATTGACTGGAATCCTCGGCAAATGGAAAATGTTTCTTCAATACGGCCAAGTGTAGCTTAGGCGGAAATCATGAAGGTTTGAGTGTTGGACGTCTTAACTCACTGAAACTTGCTCTAGGTATCGAGCTTAGAGTGTAAACAACGTGCTGAAATAATTGCAGTCACTGAATACGCTGTAGGAGGCCTCTATCTGCGGTGACGATTTTTAAAGCAAACGCAAGTGTTGCTGGGAAAGGTAAGATCAAGTTCGTGATCGAATCCTTATACTTTATTCATTGAGGAAAGTTTCGTTGATAAATTAGGAGTGCCCATTGACAGTTTATCCAACAATTTACATAAAGTATGATTGACATTTGATTAGAAAAATGATTATGACATATTCTATTTTTCTACCGGAAATTCTCAGAAGTTGCAATGTACCAACCTGAACTTAGAAAAAAGTACATTTGATTGTTTTGATCATGCTTCTTCATACTATTGTTTTCTGAACTTAAATCAGAAAAGACCACTTCTGTATTCAGTTCGTCTTTTGAATTTCTCTAAATCGAATATTCAAGTTATAAAATTGCGATCTGAGTCATATACTATACATGGTAACCGGTCAAGTCGCCCGAGAGTCATCTCGCCTGAAGTCATGTCGCCCGAAATTTTAATAATGTCGCCCGAAGTAACAAATACTAAAAAGATCAGAATTTCAGACTGTAAATAGGCAATAACATTGAGAAATTTTTTATCACTAAAGCGCTCTTTGTTTCCGACAACACCATGAAGAGTCTTAAAGTGCTGTTCGTTCCTAACAACAAAGGGAAACGTTGTTTGTTTCCAACAACAAAATGAAGCGTTGTTCGTTTGGTAGGTACTCGTTTCTTACTCACGGACATTTCGTAAGCTTGGGAAACTCTTTCTTGTTTCTTAAAATGCCATGAAGACTTTGACCACGCAGAAATCGATTGTATGGTAAAATTGAAATATGTTTGAGTAACGACTCTAAAAGCGTTGTTCGTTTCTAACAACAGAGGGAAGTGTTGTTCGTTTCTATAACAACAAATGCATGGATGCAGTGTAACATACAAGTAAAGTTCTGTTATGTCTATTTGTGACTTTCTTAACTGTAACAGATGAAAACACCTGGTAAACGAATGCGATCGTCACGTTCGATAAGCCGGTAAAAGATAAAGCGAGTAACATACAAATAAAATTAACTTGTTGCCTTGCGTAAGGTAAGTGTGATATTTTTAAGATAACAGCCTATTGTTTATGCTTGTGACTTTTTTCATAGTAGTAGTCTGATAGCATCTTTTCCCTTAGGAATAGGCAAAAATTATGTAGTTGTGCTCTGTTTCCTCTGGCGGTCGCATGTATATTTTGATCAGATCAAAGTATGTATGAAAAGGGTAAATCTAGCTACAAAACGAATACAAACTGATCAAAATGAGCATTCATCCTTGCATTGAGTGTGATGATGAAGTTAGACCACGTCAACAAGCCCTACAGCGCAATGATTACGTATATACGGTCGATCATATGGCCTTTCTGACCATATGATCGATTTCTGTGTAGTCAAAGTCTTCATGGCTTTGTTAGAAACCAAGAAAAAGTTTCTCAAGCTTACGAAATGTCCGTGAGTAAGAAACGAGTACGTACCAAACGAACAACGCTTCATTTTTTTTGTTTGAAACGGAGAACGCTTCCCTTTTGTTGTTAGAAACGAACCACGCTTTTAGAATCGTTACTCAAACATATTTAAATTTCGATCATACGATCGATTTCTGCGTAGTCAAAGTCTTCATGGTATTGTAAGAAACCAACAAAGAGTTTCTTAAGCTTACGAAACGTCCGTGAGTAAGAAACGATTAAACGAACAACGCTGCATTTTGTTGTTGGGAATGAACAACGTTTCCCTTTGTTGTTAGGAACGAACAACGCTTTAAGAATGTCTTGGTGTTGTCGGAAACAAAGCGCGCATTATTGATAAAAATTTCTCAACGTTATTGCCTATTAACAGTCTGAAATTCTGATCTTTTTAGTATTTGTTCCTTCGGGCGACTTGACTTTTTTTTTCAGGCGACATGACTTCGGGCGAGATGACTCTCGGGCGACTTGACTGTAAACCACTATACAGAGGACTCGAATCTATTATTGGTGGTCGTCTGAACTTTCCTGTTCCCGACGGAGACAGGAAAAATAAATTGTAGGGACGGACATACAGTAACAAGGAGTTTATGAAGATTTGTATACTATGAATTTCTAATTGCACAAACCAGTCTTTATCAGGAAATTAAATGAAAGGGGGTTCATAAGATTTTAGGTTTCTGAGTAAACCCTATTCATGGTGGCGCACAAAAAAGTATTGGTAACTTTTTTTTTCAGTTTTTAGACGCAGTAACCTCTGTAGCTCAATAGTATTGCCAACCTTCCGTCATGTCATCTGATGTTGCCTTGAAAACCGCACTGACCATACTCATTATTGTGGACATCAGTGGTAACTGTTTGGTCTGTTGGGTCGTCAAGAGAAATCGAGATATGAGGTATGTTGTATCTGTTATAGAATACTTAGCCGTGTGTCCCTTAGTTATAGGCTTAATTTCGTCTTCAGGGTCCTCAGAGTAATTGCAAGCAGTAAGGCAGAGGGCTTCGGGAACGAGGTCACGTAATGCTCAATTGCGTTTCCAGCTCGACACAAGCGTAAAGGCATGCGCAGTGAGAAGTTACTATCACATGGGAAATCACGAGGCAGAAATGAGCATGCATGGATCCTCATGCTTTTGACACATAATGAAATCTACTTTTCGCAGTTAACATGCTCTTTTATTCTCCTGAATTTATCGCGTATTTGTGAGAAAGCAAATCCTCATTTCCTTTTCTTTTTGCATCTTACTTCTTTGAAGCTTTGCTGGTATTGTTTGAATGATATTGTTTGAATATCATATTCATTCTTTAGGACTCCGTTTAATTGGCTGCTTGTCAACCTAGCTATAGCAGATATCACGTTCGCGGTTTTCCAAGTACCGAATCACATTTTAACGTTCACCCCCTCTGATGTGACCATTGGCTCAGCTTTATGCAAAGTGCTCACCGCTGGTAATGTGGCCTGGGTCGGGGCGGCGGCTGGAACCATTACTCT